TTCGATATTTGTTTCCTCTCTCTAGGTGTTGATTGACTTGGAGTTTGGGGAACCAGATTGAGGAAAGCGCTTATACGTGAGCATGGGTGTGTGTGTACCCGGCAGTTTTAGGGGGTCTGGAGAGTGACTGCTGCCAGCCTCCTGTGGAGTCAGCAGACTCCTGTTCTGAGTCCTGAGTCGAGGCTCTCAGATGGGGCAGGGAAATGGGGAGAGGGAATGTCCCTGCCTCCCCTAATAGTAACCTCTCCCCCAGGTGCCTTCCCTGGCCTTTGACCCACTGGGTCTTTGTGTCCTTGCCTCCCCCACTCCCTCTCCCATCATCAGACTCATTCATCCCTTGTCCTTCAAGATCCTGCTCTTTGATCTCTTAGGAGATGACTGGCTAATCAGATTTACCCATCTAAATTCATGTGCTGGTGGCAAGTTAACAGGTAATTCCTGAAGCTCTTTCAACTGACCTTTTAACTGGCCACCAGGCCTTATCAATCCAAGAGGTGACTGTCCAAGTGGGAACCTGAAGTGGAGGTGGGGTGGGTGTTTGGCCCAAGGGCTCTGCTCCATCATGCGTCCATCCAGCAGGTAGGAGGGGAGCGGCCTCAAAGCTGTGCCCTGCACATGGGCTGAGAGACCAGTGAGGCCATCACACAGTTTTGAGGAAGGTAAAAGTTAGATACTGACTAACGAAGTGAAGGTCAGGAGGTGCAGCGGGGCGGGCTGCAGAGCTTCCCAGCATCGGGGAGGGCACCACAGCCACATCTGGGCAGTCAGGGAAGGCTCCCTGTAAGAGGAAGCAGAGTGACCTGGAAGGTGAGGAGACAGCTTTTCGAGAGCAAGTCAGGGAGAAGGTTGTAAGGGCAGGTCTCCCCACATCTCCCAGGGCCCCACTGGGGTCTCCAAGGGCATTTCAGGACCTGGAGCATTGTGACTTTGCAAGGGAGGGCAGTTGGTGAGTGCTCAAAGACAGGGTAGCTGGGGGCTCCTGGCCCCCTCTTTGGCTATGGACTGTGTGTGGCAGCATGGGGAGCATGGGTTTTGGGGTACACTGATATGCATGAGACGTGTAGGGGCTGCCTGGGGTGGGAAACCCAAGTGACCCCGGGACTGGAAGCCCAGATCTCTCCCAGGCAGCCAGGAGTGGGGGTGGGCTGGATGAGGGATGGGGTACAGGATTGCTAGGACCAACTGCAAATTAGCCAGGCGGGCGCAAAAATACCTTTGCTGCTTCTGCCCTCCCGTCCCTCCCGACCCTTCTGAAAATCAGCAACTGTGTCAACAGCAGGGTGATTGTGCTTGGCGGGCGGCAGGGCCAGGCAGGTGCTGGCAGGGCCGCCCAGCCCCATGCTGGGAGCAGGCCGCTCTGGCTGCCAGGGCCGTGGGGTAAACAAGGCCGCACACAGGCCAGCCTGGAGGGAGGGCGGCCACAGGCGGGCAGGAGGGAGAACAGGTGTCTCAGGAGGCTGCAGACACAAAGGCCTCTTGTCTCCTCTGCCCTGGCCCCGGGGAGCAGCCCCTCCCCGGCAGGCCCGCCCCAGACCAGTGGCCAGGTCAGCCAGAGGGTGCTGGGCTGAGGGGAGGGCCGGTGCCGACCTCCAGACTCCCCTATCTCGGGACTTGCTTTTTTTATTTTTTGCTTGAGGCAGAGGTAAAAGCAGTCCCTATTGGGCACTACTGTGGGGGCAGGACACCTGACTCTGAACAGATCCACTGTCCGTGAGGCCTCTGTGGGTCTCAGTTTCCCATTGGAAAGACAGAAAGACCCTCGCAGTGGCTGGGACACTGCAGGAAGAAATGGACGGCAGCGAGCAAAGGCCCTGGAGCTTTTCGGAAGAAGGGCAGCCAAGGTCGGGAGTGGTGGAAGGTGGAGTGACAAGCAGGGCTGCAGGCAGCCTTTGGAGTGGAAGTGGAGAGTGCAGCGTCACCCCGTCCCTCCATATCTTTAAGGAAACAAACCTTTACCGGACACGGGCCAGGGGCCAGGGGCCAGGGGCCAGGCACTGCCCTGAGGATGGGGGGAGGCAAGGAAGAATAGCAGCACCCTCTCAGACAGGAGGATTCTGGAGCCAAACGGCCTGTGTGGCCTTGGGCAAGTAACTTAAGCTCTCAGAGTCTCAGTTTCCTCATCTATAACATAGGGTGATAGGAGACACTGCAGACAGGTAAACAAGTAATTGCAGTCCAGTCGAGTACTCGAGACCAGGGGTGTCCAAGGGCTCTGGAACGCCCTGGAGAAGCAATCAGCTCTTCTAGGATTTTTAGGGAGAGATTCATAAAGGAGGAGCAACCTTGCTTAATTAATTACTTTCCTTCGTTTTGTTTCGCCTGCGCTGGGTCTTCGTTGCTCTGCGCAGGCTTTCTCTAGCCGCAGCGAGCCGGGCTGCTCTCTTATCTGCGGTCGGGCTTCTTGCTGAGGATGCTTCTCCTGCTGCGGAGCACAGCACAGGCGCTGTAGCTCCGGCTTACTGGCTGGGGTGCACCGGCTCCGTGACCTCGCCGCGTGTGGAATCTTCCCAGAGCAGCGATCGAACCTGTGTTCCCTGCCCCGGCAGGTGGATTCCTAGCCTCTGCCACCAGGGAAGTCCAAGGAGGGGCAACATTTGAACTGGGCTTGGAGTGAGGTCTGGGCGTTTTCTGCTCAAGAATGTAAGCAAGGGCCTTTCAGGCAGGAGCAATCTTGTGAACTGCAGCCCTGAGGTGTGAAGGCGCCTGTTTGCACCTGCATTAGGGTCTGTGAGCCTTAAAGCTGGAGGCCAGGCCGCAGAGGGCCTTTGCCGCGGGTGAAGGGGTTTGGGCTCATCCCTAGCCTGCTCCAGGGTCTGGTATCTGTCTTTCTCCTCCCACACCAGTACAATATGAACCACTCAATCTCACTCTGGAATGCTCTTCAACTCATAGAGAAGCAGGATGGTTTGGTAAAAACACCGTGGAGTCTTAGGGTCAGAAAGTTCTGGATTGGAAGCTTTTGGATTTTGAACCTTGATATTGGGCCGTTTACCTAAATTCTCTAAGCTGCGTTTTCCTTGTCCGTAAACTGAGGCAGTGGGTTGTGCTTTCTGGCAGAGTGTGGTCGTCACTGGAGGGAAGTGCTGAGACACAGCACCAGGGGCATCAGGGAATACCCGGGCTCTGAGGATCTCTTGGCAGCTGCAGGGGGCCCCTCCTGCGCCCAGATCTGGAAGGATAGTTGCCTTGGCAGAGGCCACCACCCTCCTCCCCTCCCTCATTTGCTACCTTGGCTGTGCTCCGCACGGGCATGGCCCCGTTTTGTCTCCCTCCTCTGTACTCAACATTTCTCAGGTAGCCTTCCTGGAGAGGTGAGGTCAAGGAGAAAAGTTGATAGGCTGGAAGATGGGACTGGGAAAGTACTCTGCGGCACCCTGGCCAGGTGGTCAGGTAGTAGCTTCCTAGGTAACCCTGGAAACAGCTTGAGAAAGAGACAGGCAGAACAAGTAGGGGCAACACTTGGATTTTTCTGAGGGCTGTGTGCATATTTACATAGAATTTGCATATAACCAGTACACCGAACACGATTTCTATAATGTATACCTAGCCACATTCACATTTGCCTTTTACTGTTGCTTTTTTCAAAGATGGCCACTCCTGGCTCTCTGCTCTTGTCCAGCCTCACTCCTGCTGTGTTCTCCCAGCCCCTTCGTAGAGGGCAGGGAACGTTTGCGGGGAGGGACAGAGGGCCGGCTTCTCGGCGGCCTGCTGTCGATCGCCCTCCCCGGGGTGAGCACAGGAGGTAGTCCCAGTGACCCCCGCCTGTGAATGGGACTCAGGGTGCCTTCGCAGTTAGGTGTGCAGAGCTCGTCACTTAGCAGGTGCTCAATAAATCTGAGGATAAATCAAGGTTAGCGACGAGGAGGGACCTTGGAAAACAGACGTTTCCTGTTCAGACTCCTCGGGGCCCAGTTTTTGTGCCTGAAGACAGGTGGATGGGGAGAAGTGAGCCTGTGGGGAGCAGCTTTCTCCCCTGTGGCCAGAGGAGACATCTCTTTCTCTTCTTGGTCTTGCGGAAATAGTGGTGTGGATGCTGCTGCTGCTGCTAAGTCACTTCAGTCGTGTGTGCGACCCCATAGACGGCAGCCCACCAGGCTCCGCCATCCCTGGGATTCTCTAGGCAAGAACACTGGAGTGGGTTGCCATTTCCTTCTCCAATGTACGAAAGTGAAAAGTGAAAGTGAAGTCACTCAGTCATGTCCGACTCTTTGCGACCCCATGGACTGCAGCCCACCAGGCTCCTCCGTCCATGGGATTTTCCAGGCAGGAGTACTGGAGTGGGTTGCCATTGCCTTCTCCGTGGTGTGGATGAGAGGAGCAGAAAAGAAGGGCCAGGCCTTCTGTGATTTTGTTTTTCAGATTGAGAGTCTGTTATTAGCAATTTATGATGTCCAGGTCTTCAGCCAAGCACATTCTGTTCTCATTGTTGAGGGGAGACTTGCAGGGCCTTAGCAAGAGGCTCGACAGGAAAAACACCCAGGTCGCTAATTTCAGGACTGACCATGCAGGGCCTCAGCCTGTGCTGGCGGCGACTTTAGCGCGCGGCAAGTTTGAGCCCAGTCCTATGTGGGGAGATGCCCTTCTGAATGGCACGGCCTCCCCATGGGACCCCAAATGGCTCCTGTAAGTGGAAGGAGCCCCCTCCCACATCAGCCCACTGGGTATTGGGTTGCTGATTGCTTTCTGTGAAATGGGGTCAGGACAGTGATTAGAGCAGAGTCTGTAGTTTCTTGAGACGGTAGGGCCTGGGAACACTCCTACAGAGAAAGAAGAGCGGCTGTGTGAGAGAAGACCCCGGAAGACGGGCAGCGGGCATGACCACCCTTGTGGAGAGAATGGTGCAGAAGCAAAACAACCCCCTTTCTGCAAAAGAGCTGAGCTGGTGGAATCTAGCTCAGCGGCCGCGAGATCGGGGCAGTAGATAGAGCTCTGCGGGCGCCGGGGCCGTGTGTGTGCAGGTTGTTGTGTGGCGTCCCGGAAGACCATGGAGAGGGCAGGAGCAGCACCTGCAGTGCCTCCTCCTCCAGGCTGGCCTCCACGCTTCCCTGGATTCCTCACTGGTCCTCGTTCTTGGAAGCAAGCCCCCTTTCTCCATCCATTTCTCATGTAAGTCGGTTTCATTCTTTCTGTGATTTCCCTTCATTCTGTTCCCAACTGTTTGGCTTTGACTAGAAGTAGCCACATTAGCCATTCTTCAAGGGGTCTGCCTCCCCCAGGAGGCCAAAGTGCCAAAGGACAGAGAGCTTTGGTCAGCGGGGGACTTCTCAGGGTCAGGTACAGAGTTGCTTGATCCCCGGCCTCTGCTTCATGGCTGGGAGGAGCCCCGTCTGCTTCCGGAAGAGCAAATCTCTCAAGTAGCCATTTCTCGCATCCCAAGCATGTCTCCAAGCTTGCTGCTGTCGGATGGTTGTTGAAAAGGCAGACTCACTGGAAGATAAGAAGCTTTTGTGGGACTCCGGAAAGAGCCAAGGGTGAGAATGTAATGCATTGGATAGTGGGGGAGAGAGATGCTGGGCAGTGAGAGAACCGGCCTGGTTTCCAGCTGTGAGGATTCACTGTTATCTTATTATTATCCTCACACAGCTGATGGCCACTCAGTCCGGAGGCGGATTCCCTGTCCTTTCTTCTGTGGGTTGACATCCTCTTCTCCTACTAGCTCAAGGCCCTTGCCAGGGGTCCATGCCAGGGTGAACTCAGCTCTGATCCAGCATGGACAGGTTTGTTAGGTGTGGAACACGCGCTCTGGGCCCGGCACGAGTCTCGGGGCTCCACTAGCAGCCCCGTCCCCTGCTAAGACAGATGTTAGTAGGGCGCCTCTCTGCCGGGTGCCCTGGAACAACGGTCACTAAGCTACCAGCCAAGAGGCTGAGGTGCCCTGCTGGGGTAGAAACAGGGTGGGGGGTGTTAGCTTAGAGAGCAGTTGGCAAGAGATATTCAAGGTCAGAGGGAGTCTTGAACGCAGGCCAAGGAGCCGAGACTTGGTTGACAGTGAGGAACCAGACAACGTCTCAGAGAACTTTCAGAATGGGTGGCTCATTCATTGAAGCCGAAACTTCTCTCTGTTCTGCAGCAAAATTCCAGCAGAACCCTGTACTTTTTCTTTCCATTCAAAGACATTTTTGCTGCCTTCAAATTGTGCTGAACCGTCTGGTAATAGAGACAACTTTCCTTCCTCCGCAGGGCTTTGGGCTTCCAGGATTGGGACCAAGCCTGGCAGCCTGCGGAGGGAATGTTCCTTTTCTTGGTCTGCCCTGACCACACTCACCCGGGCTTTAGTCTCATGGGAGCTCAAGTGAGTGAGTGTAGCCAACTTCTGAGATGTGCCGTTTCTTGATAAATTAGCAAACTTATTTTGTTCAGGCTTGATGAACATTAATCTCTAGATGTCTTTTGTAAAGGCAATGGTTTGATATACTTTTTAACAACTAAGATACTCAGAGGATGGATAAGTTTTCAATTCAGTTCAGTCGCTCAGTCGTGTGGCTTCCCTGTCCATTACCAACTTCCAGAGCTTGCTCAAACTCATGTCCATCAAGTCAGTGATGCCATCCAACCATCTCATCCTCTGTCATCCCCTTCTCTAACCTTCAACCTTTCCTAGCATCAGGGTCTTTTCAAATGAGTCAGTTCTTCATATCAGATGGCCAAGTATTAGAGCTTCAGCTTCAGCATCAGTCCTTCAATGAATATTCAGGACTGATTTCCTTTAGGATTGACTGGTTTCATCTCCTTGCCATCCAAGGGACTCTCAAGAGCCTTCTCCAACACCATAATTCAAAAGCATCAATTCTTCAGCTCTTAGCTTTCTTTATAGTCCAACTTTCACATCCATACATGACTACTGGAAAAACCATAGCTTTGACTAGACGGACCTTTGTTGGCAAAGTAATGTCTCTGCTTTTTAATATGCTGTCTAGGTTGGTCATAACTTTCCTTCCAAGGAACAAGCGTCTTTTAATTTCATGGCTGCAGTCACCATCTGCAGTGATTTTGGAGCCCAAGAAAATAAAGTCTGACACTGTTTCCATTGGTTCCCCATCTATTTGCCATGAAGTGATGGGACCAGATGCCATGATCTTAGTTTTTTGAATGTGAGTCTTAAGCCAGCTTTTTCACTCTCCTCTTTCACTTTCATCAAGAGGCTCTTTAGTTCCTCTTCGCTTTCTGCCATATGGGTGGTGTCATCTGCATATCAGAGGTTATTGATATTCCTCCTGGCAATCTTGATTCCAGTTTGTGCTTCATCCAGTCTGGCATTTCACATGATGTACTCTGCATCTAAGTTAAATAAGCAGGGTGACAAAATATACAGCCTTGACATACTCCTTTCCCGATTTGGAATCAGTCTGTTGTTTCGTGTCCGGTTCTAACTGTTGCTTCCTGACCTGCATAAGCTTTACCCGTACCTCATTATGTGAAGACACTGGGTGGGGGTGGGGAGGAGACCAAACCCTGCCCGCAGGGAAGCAGTAATCTGTCTGGGGAGGTTTTGACTGGATCATTGGAACCAGCTGCGTTGTGAGAACGGAGCCTTTTAGCTGAGTGGGCCAGGGCACCAGAACTGTTTTTTTTTTTCTTTTTTAATATTTGTTTTAAAATTTTATTTATTTATTTATTGGGCTACTCTGGGTCTTAGTTGTGGTATGTGGGATCTAGCTTCCTGACCAATAATTGAACTTGGGCCCCCTGCATTGGGAGCTCAGAGTCTTAGCCACTGGATGACCAGAGAAGTCCCATGTCAGGACTTTTGAAGACATTTTTGTCTCCATGGGCTTGGTTTCAGAGGCTGGGTGCAAGGTGGAGTTAGACAGATCCCTCTTTGCATCCTATCTCTGCTTCTTCTGAGCTGGGAGATTTCTGGCAAATACTAGAACTTTCTTTGAGCTTAGTTTTTTCACCTACAAAGTGGGAAAAGAATAACACCTACCTCCCAGGTTTAAAAGGATTCAATGAAGTGATGTATATATTACAGTGTCTGGAGTATACTAGATTCCAGTTAGTGGGAGCTGATGTTAGTATCATGGCCGTGGTGCTGCTTGTGGGGACAATGGTGCAGCTCTCCTGGGGCCTGTCTGGATGTGGGGGCAGTTCCTCCCTTGAGTCGTGAGCATGGCTTGTATGGGATTTAGGAAAGGGAGAGTGTGGTGGGCAGACTCCATCAGCTGTGACACCTCTCTCAGCCTCTCATCAAATTCTTCCTTCAGATGTGTACAGATGTGCTGCGTGATCCTGGCCAGGCTACTTAGCCAATCTGTGCTTCAGCTTCGGGAATTATAAATTGCTGCTGACAATCATACCTGGTACTAAGAAGATTAGATAGAAAAGGTTACCTGGAAAATTCAGACACTGTCTGCCATGGCGGGCGGTGGGGGGAAGTTCTTATCCAGGCATTTGCTGCTGTTACTATTGCTGTGGTTATTCTGCTACAGGAGTGACCCATGCACTCAAACAAGGGCAAGAGCTGCTGCCCCAAGCGTTCCCGGAGCTTGGAGCAGGGGCAGGGTGTGAGGTGGAGGTGGGCTGGGGTGTGGACCCCAGTGTGTGGACCTCACTGCTGGCGCTGGAGGGCAGCCCAGAAAAGACGGTGAGCTTTCTCACCCACCAGCTGCAGCCAGTGTGCCGCCAGGTGGAACAGAAGTGGTAGTTTGGCTCAGGGTGTACTGCCTCTTGTCCTTTACCCAGTGTTGTCCCTCAATCGGGTCACTAAGGGGGACAGTTCTACACCACGTAGAATGGGTTTTTGCAAAACTGGTGAAGCTCACTTGTAAGCTGGGGTCGCTTGAAAGCATGAAACCACTGCATTCACCAAACCCAACTGCTGGTGAATTTTTATAATTCATAGTAACAGACAGCCTTTAACTAACCTTTGGACTCTGGGCGCTCCAGAGCTGCCTGCAGGAACCCAGCAGTAGTGGAGGCTGTCCCCCAGCACCCAGCAGCAGACAGGGCTGATGGGGTTGGGTGCACCTGCGGGGAAGCTGCCTGTTCTCCAGGGTCCTTGCGCTGTGGTTTTGGAATTGGAGGCATGTGGACCTTCTGTGGGATTTTGCTTCCGCCCTTTAGCTTCAGGTGCCTCAATTATAAAATGGGTTTTGTTGCTACCAAAAACATCTGTGAGGTGCTTAGCCGGTCGTGCTCACTCAGAACATGGCAGGCGCTGTCACTGTCTTCCTGCTGATGCGGGCCGCAGCCTGATGGTGGAAACCAGGGCCTTAGCAGCACTTGTATTTCTGCAGCATCAAAGACCTTGGAGCCCTCCCTGACTTAAAATTTTATCTCTGAGAGAAGAAATAATAATATATCCCATGAGCAAATGGAAAAACTGAGACCCTAGTGTGTCCCAGGCCCCACAGTGAGTTCCAGGTGTCCAAACCCCTAACAGTTGTAGGGGGTTTTCTAAACCATCAAGCGTGTGAAGCATTTTGACATTTAGAAAATCACTATGCTGAGGCTCCAAGCAATTTGGTGGTGGGTATTTTGACTCCCAATTTACAGATAGGAAAACTGAGGCTCGGAAAATTAGGACTTACCTAGGATTGTACCTTGGTTTTGTGGCAGAGCTGGGGCTCCAACTTAGAGCCTTGGGCTGGAGCCTCCAAATCCAGGGTTCCCTGCCACTGTGCACTCAGAGTTATCCCGTGGGTCTGTGTGGTCCTCTCTGCAGTAACTTTTCCCCTCCAAGCAGGTGGATCTGTTAGGGTGACTAGTCATGAGCCAGCAGGGAGAGGGTTCAATTCCTTCCTAAGCGCGGGCAGGCTTTGAGCTGGGCGCAGGCTGTGGGGGAAGGGAAGGAGAGCGGCTCTAAGGGCCCCGGGAGGGGGTGGGCGCCTGGAGCGGCAAGGAGGGGGGCGCCCATCTCCCTTCTTCCCTGGACAAAAATGGACAGAGGTGCCAGCGGCTCTTTTCAGTCTCCATAGACAGTCCTAAGCTTCCCCTGTGGTGGATGGCCATCAGCAGGGCCTGCCCTCTCAATCTGGCCCTGGGACCCCGGCAGCGCTTAGAGACATTGGAAGCCCTGTGATGTATTCTTGGGTAAGTGGGAGCTGGGCTAGTTTTTTACCAGTAAAGGCACCAGTAATAGAGAATGGAACTATCAAGTGACCCTTCTGGCTGGATGGGACTTTGGTCCCAGCCTGTCATTCATTGAAGAGGAGAAGGAAGATCTGGGTGGCCCACAGAGGCCAGCGTCTCTGAAATAAGGGGTGACTCTGAACACTGGGAAGGCTTCTCCATTCCCTCCTTCTCTCCCCAGGGGCCCCCCACCCCAGTCACCCCTTCTGTTAGCTCAGACCTACTTGAAAGCGTTTGTTTGGATTTTTGTCCCTGTGTCCTCCCTAGATGGACCTCAGGAGGTCCAGAGCTGTAGAGTGGACTGCCCAGGGCTGCTCAGCAAGTCGGGATGGGGAGAGCCGTTCTGGAAGCAAGGTGTCACCCAGCGCTTTCCTTGAGACTGCCACCCCAAGAAGGACAA